ACAAAATCATTGTCCCCTATCAGCGTAAAGATTTTAATTGGCTATGTAAAAATAATGGCCGGCTGGCCCTGAGCCTAGAAGGGTTTTGGGGAGTATTAGATTGCCATTATGGGACTCATAAATGGGTTGGCTCCTTCTGTTCTCTCCCCTGGAAGGACCTCCAGCTCTTCCTCCAAAATCCCCTGCCAGACTCCTGTACGGTGTTTACTAACAGGGGCCGGTATGGGGCCACTGTGGTGATTTATTCCAAGAAATGCTGAGCCACAGAGATTTTCATATCAGTACAGCAGATTGGCCCAGTTTAAAGAACTCATGGCCGTTGTCCTGGCCTTAAGTAGAGGAACCCATAAACTTCTTCACTGATAGCTTGTATGTGGCTAACCTCCTGCCAGGGCTTTTGGGCTCATATATCCGATTAGCTAAAAACCCCATTACTCCTTTAATGATACAGGCTTGTACCCTCCTCCAACAACGAGAGCATCCGCTTTTTATCCAACACCTTAGAGGATACCAACATCTGCCTGGGTTTCGATCACTAGGCAATGCCGAAGCAGATAAGTTGGCCTCTACCCAGCTCATGTCAGCCAATACATCCCCAGCCCAAGATTTACACGAGCTCAACCATGTCAACTGGCAAGGACTCCACAAAATATTTCCTCATATACCCATTGCTGATCTAAAGAAAATCGTTCAAACTTGCTAATCTTGCCAACCCCTCCTCCAGGTGCCCCCATTACAGCCCTCGGGAGTAAACCCCAGGGGCCTCAAACCCAACACTCTTTGGCAGATTGATGTCACACCTTTCCCTCCCTTTGGTAAACTCAAATACATATTTGTCTCTATTGATACATATTCGCATGCATGTTGGGCTACAGCCCACATGGGGGAAAGGGCCAAACATGCTCAAAGTCACTTCCTCCAATGCTTTGCCACTCTGGGCTTACCCCACAGGGTTAAAATGGATAACGGACCATGCTTTGCGAGCCAGAGCTTACATGAATTTTTCAAACGATGGAATGTCCAACATAATACAGGAATCCCTTACAATCCCCAAGGCCAAGCAATTGTAGAATGCAATCACCAATGTATAAAATCGCAATTACAAAAACAAAAAGGGGGAGGCAGCCCCCATCAGCAACTACTCATGGCCCTGTTTGCTATCAATATTCTCAATTTTCAAAAAAAATCAATCAGAATAAAAATTCCAAAAACATTGGGGCAAGCAAGAACAATGCCCTGAGGTGCAGGTACACTGGAAGGACCCCATTATGGGGCAATGGAGAGGCCCAGACCCATTGCTAACCATGGGTTGAGGCTTTGGCTGTGTCTACCCTACAGAAGATTCAAACCCCATATGGGTGCCTGCTAGGAATCTTAAATTCTATAATCAAAGGGAAGATGACCCTGACCAATCAGAACCAATAGAATACGATGACTAAATGATAAGATCAATAGGCCACTAATCGGCATAATGGTCCATGAAAGAGGTTCATGAGACAAAATTCCTCTTTTATTTACAGGGCTGTGATGAACAGGCCTTGGTGGAGATTGTTGACAGTTTTTATGGCCATGGGAATTATAGCTGGAGCTCTGTTTATCATCATTATGGTCATCTGGGATTTGTATGTAAGGATAGCATACACCAACAGCACCAATTAAGGGTTTTAATTCCTCTCATAGATCCAAAATGTCAAGAGAATGGAGGCTAGTAATGGTGTTGATATGGACCCTCACAACCCAAGGGACAGTACATGAACCAAAACAACCGACATGGATGGTCACCTCAGGGCATGGGGACACCATTGTTCCAAATAACCAAAGAGGCGGCCCTATGGATATGGTGGCCCAACCTCTACATGGACATTTGTGACCTTGCAGCAGGGACATGGAATATCCCCCCAATACACCCTTGGGGACCCTGAGCCTGAATGCAAAGAGAGTAAGTATGACAAAAACCGATGCCCTTCTACAGGGCTGGGGGCTGGGGTTATGGGTGTAGCCATCCTGTCCTGAGAATAAAGATCAGAAAACTACCCTTTTACATATATCTCGGGACTGGGAGGATACACACAAAGGCCCATCAATGTGGGGGAGGAGGTGACTTCTACTGTGCGGCCTGGGGATGTGAGACGATAGGGAATTGCCCCAGATGAGTGGCAGGTCGCCTGACCTTATATGTCACTCCAAATCATACCAGGTCAGGCCTGACGGGCATAGGCAGGTGCTCCAACATGGTCACAGGGTTCAGTAGCATGCCCACGGGAGATTGGACAGGGCCAGGAGGTCCATGCGAACAGTTTCGCTGTAATCTGTTAAAAATCGGATTTACAGACTTGGGAATAAAGGATAAAGGATGGCTACAGGGTAAAATTGGGGGGTTCCATTTATATGTAGACGGATACGATCAGGGAGTCACCTTCAACATTAGGCTAAAGGTATCAGAGTCAACAAGGGTTATTGGGCCGAATAAAGCCCTAGCCCCGGGGGCCCCCAGGACATACCTAACCATTTCACATAATGCTACTGCCCTAGGAGATGGGGACACTGGAAATACCATGCACCAAAGATCGCACCCCGTTGGGAATGAGGAAAACCCCCTTCTTCAAATCTTGAGGCATGAATATCTGCTTCTCAACTCCTCTGACCCATCCAAAGCGTCCGCCTGCTGGCTCTGTTATGACACAGCCCCCCCCCCTTTTATGAGGGGATTGCAATGACAGGAAGCTATAACATCCAGGAGAACTCCCAGAAATGTAGATGGCAGTCCAAGGCTTCCCTGACCTTGCAACAGGTCATGGGCAGGGGCCTATGTGTAGGTAACCCACCACAGGCCCTCCAAGACCTCTGTAATTATACTGAGGCCCCCGGTAATACCACTGGGTTCCTCGTACTGGGGAATGATACTTGGTGGGCTTGCAGTACGGGCCTGACCCCATGTGTCAATTTACAAGTCCTTAAGCTCAGTAAGGACTACTGTGTCATGGTCCACCTGGTTCCTCAACTCATTTATCATTCAGATGAGGATCTTCTGGACTCCCTTGAGGGGACGCTCTCACGGGTCAGGCAGGAGCCTGTCTCAGTCCTCACGCTCAGCCTTATCCTGGGGGCTGGGCTTCTTGGGGCAGGAAGCGGGATGGCCTCCTTAGCCTGGCAGGGACAGCAATATTCTAACCTTAGGGCCACTATTGATGTTGACATTGAGAGACTGGAAAACTCAATTTCCCATATGCAGGAGTCCCTCTCCTCCCTAGCTGAAATGGTTTTACAAAACCGCAGGGAACTAGACCTGATTTACCTCCAGCAAGGAGGGTTATGTGTCGCCCTAGGGGAGGAGTGCTGCTTTTATATAGACCATTCTGGAGAAGTAAAGGACTCGATGGCCAAAGTGTGGGAAGGGCTAGCAAAGAGGAAAAAGACCAGGGAAAACGAACAGGGTTGGTTCGAATCCTGGTTCAGTTATTCCCCCTGGCTGACTACCTTAGTTTCCACCATATTGGGCCCCGTACTTGTGGTCATTCTCCTGCTATCCTTTGGGCCATGCATCTTGAACCGCCTAGTAAGGTTCGTCAAAAATCAAATAAATGATGTACGGGCATTTACCCTCAGGTTCCAATACCAACCTGTGTCCTGCTACCCTTGAGCTGGTCATGAGGGAGATCGTTATGATTGTCTTGACTCACTAATTAATGCTTGCCCTTGAGTGTTTTGCCAGGTTACAACAGCAGAAGAACCCACGAGACCACTATGACCACCCCTCCTCTCTATTATAACCCCCCCAGAAACAAGACCCCCTCCAGTTGTCCATGTGCAGCTAATTTAAATAGGCTGAGACTAGAATCGTTATGGGCTGGCATTATCCATACAGCTGCCCTTAATCATGATGCATTTTTACCCAAGGACAGGTAAGATGTCCTATGACAAGCACTCCTAAGACAGGACATGCACATGGCCAGGTACATGGTCCAATGACAGGCAAGGCTTGGTCAGGGGTGACATAACCTAAGATAGGCGAAATGCACAAGATTAGAGGAAGGAGATAGCCACCTCTCCTCAGGGAGCTGTCTATGAGATGGGTAACCCATAAAATAAAGTCAGTCCGGCCTTATAAGATAAAAATATAAAGGGGGAGATGTGGGAGCCCAAGAGCGACCCTGCAAAAATGGCACCGAGAGGAAGTAAGCAGGGCATGGCCTGACTTTTCCTGAAGATCATCAGATTGGATGCCAGTCCTTCCACACCCCTGGGCGGCACGTGATCAGCACGTGATCATCGACACCTATGGGACCCTGCCCATGTGGCAGGTTGACCTTTAAGCTGATTGGGTGCGTTTGGGGGAGGGGGTTTCCGAGGGGATTTCCAGACTGCGGTTTTTGCCTATATAAGCTCTGTGACACCTGCAACAAAGAAGTTCCTGCTTGACAAGACTCCCTGTCGTGTCTGATTGTCCTTGGCAAGGAGGGCTGGCGAAACAGGCGGACAGTGCGCTCACCTTACCCTGACCCCCATCACGGCAGGTCCCTCCGGGGCGGGACCTTGGGGCGGACCCCCGCAGAAAACTTTTCAGGTACCAGCATCCAATCATAAAAAGTTCAAAACTTTTTCTTTTTCCATTATTTCCTACAGCAGTAAAATGAGTCCCTCACAGGTAATAGCACTAGTCAAGTCAGCTTCTCCTGGGAACAGCACTAGTCAGGTCAGCTTCTCCTGGGCTGCAGCTTAGCCTGGACTCCCCCTACCACACCTCCTCCCAGCAGTGCTCTCAAGGCAACAGCAATGCAAACCTGGAATACAACTCCTGCCCAAAAGGGAGGGCTCCGCTCAGAAAAAGTTTGACTCTTTGTCCAGCTAAAACTTACTTCTAATAGTGGACTTCTTAAACAGAAGCACTCAACTAAAATTCATTAGTGATCATAGGTGAGTTTAAAGGCACAGCACCAAAAAACTGTCAAGCACTTCCCATTCACTCTTCATTTGTTGCTTTCAGAATACCTGGGCCATACCTGTGAATGAAGCTTTCTGTGGAGCTCTGAAAACAGCACAGCATCTGCTTCTCTCCTTTGTCGAATTACTGAAATGTTAGGAAAGAAATGACCACATTATTCACATACACTGGATTCATTTTTGGAACACCATTTTACCTATGCTGTCAGATGACTGGGAAGTGCTGGAAAGAGCCCTTAGCCTCAGAGGTCAAAGAACAGGGAGTAACTCTTGGTAATGTGGATCTGGCTGGTTCATCCTACCTCTCTGTCAAGTGTAAAACTTGGAGTATTAGGCTGGGATAAAGAGTGTGTCTATCTACAAACACTAATTCACAGTGCAGCAGCTACCTGGAGGGAGAGATGGAAAGCAAAGTTGGGATCATAAATTCACAGGGCAATAAAAGGTATCACACTTCATGGCAGTTCCTCTGATCTAAAGTCACACTAATGTTTTTGCTAAGACACATAGCAGTGTTTTATCTTGCTTAGTATAAAACATAGTAGGTCAGTTAATTGTTTCAAAATAAAAATCAAATCACATTCTCCTTTTTATTTTACTAATAAATGCCTAGATAGTCCAGTTACACTCACAAGTTCTCAAAAGGAGCAGTAGCCAATGGTAAATTCATCCTCTGGTATGTTCCACAATGAGGCAGAAGCTACAGATCAGATGTAGGGTCCTTGGGAGAATGCACAGTACCCACTTTAGCACACAGAGGCCTCTAAAGGAGACTGCTCTGCCTACTAGCAAAGGTACCACATTTAAAGCTAACTTAGAAGTTGGGCATGTTGGGTACATCAGGACACTAAGGTAGGAAGACACTTGAGTTAAAGCCAGTCTAAGTTACATAGTAAATTCCAGGCCAACCTGGGCAATCTAAGGAGACCCTATCTTGAACAAACAAAGCTCATATATATCACTGCTCTCCAATGATCTCTGTCCCGTTCTAGGAGTGAACTTCATGAAAATCCTATCAGCCCATCACATTTCTCTTGAATGTTCTAATTCCTCTACAAACAAAGAATACCTGACTGCATAGCCAGCAGTTCCCATGTTCACCACATAGGAACAGATCTGATCCCTGGTACCCTGCACTACCTTATGAAATGCATAATAGAGATGATGTAATTCTAGTCAATAACTGTTCTTTCAACTCTTCCTACTGAGAAAGCTACAGCTACCATGGAAAGGCAGTGCACAAATACATCAGTAAGACCAATGCTACCAAAATGTAACAAAATTAACTGCCTCGGAAACATAAATATACTCTAAAATACAACCATTAAATTAAGTGATGTTCTTTCTATAGAATAAAATGAGCTACAATACTGTCCTAACAGAAAGAAAGCAGGCAACAGAAGAATATTTACAAGTAGTGTTTGACTTACTAAGCTGAGCAAAGGCAACAAATCTTGAGTTGCAATGCAACCCATTTTGCCAGTGTGAAAAATGAACTAACAGGTGCTGCTACATCTTCTCAGCATGTCAGCCACCTCTGTTTCAATATAAAACTCACTGGCGTTTTACATTTGAAGTCAGCCGTGTAGAATGCAAAATTAATTTCCTGTGTTATTCTAGAAGGTAGACTGTCTATAACTCAACTAGTCTAAGATTCCAACAACCATAATCAAATTTCAAATGCCTGAGAATTCATGAGCTATGACAAACCAACATGGCCATCAGAGAAGAGGACCACAGGCAGGAAAGGGTGTCTCTAGAGAGGACCAGAAGCACAAAAGGATACCTGCTAAGCACAACACAGATGCTGAACACTGGATCTGCAACATACACCTCCTCATCTCTCACACACAGGAGACCTACTGTACACATTACAGCTTTCTTAAGAAGAAACTCCTTGACGTTCTTGAATGTCTACAATAACAAAATAACTGATATACACTTGCAGTAAGCTCACCACAGGGCCATAAAATACAAATTCACAAAGGAAATTATCTACCATACCCAACAGCTGAGGTTCTCAGCAGTAACCTAAAATGTAAGGCTGTTTAGGGTTCAGGAGAGGAGTATCATTGTCACATGTTGAATTTGACAGGCATGAATGAAAGTAAGTCTCAATACTTAATAGCAGACTAAAACCCCATTGATCCCTCTGCCTTACTAACATGTGAGGTAGGCTCCAGAGCCCCTGCAGAATGTCTGAAATACCTATAATACCAAGACCCATACCTTTCACTTGCAGGAAGCACTTTGTGACTTTTCTTTAGCACATCTGAACTGTAGGGGTCACCACCCTTATACTTTGGGGTCACTAAGAAAAATAAGGTGAGGAGGCAATGTATGCCTATAATTCTATCACTTTGGGAGGCAGAGATGGAAGATTAGCAAGTCTAAAGCCAGCCTGGGCTATGAGAAGAGTAGAGCACTGCTAACATGACCCTCACTCTGATAACTGAGAAGGCAGCTACATGACTGACAGGGGCATGATGGCAGCACATAAAGCAGGGACATGCTGGACAAAGGAATGATGCCCACACCAGGTGGGAGGGAGTGGGAAAATTCAATGCACTCCTTAAGATGGCATGTAATTTAAAATTTATCAATTATTTGGTTCTGGGATTTATTTCCCAACAATTATTTTCAGACCATGGTCAACCACAGGCAACCAAAACCAAGAAAGCAAAGCAGCTGACAAAGAGGACCACTTACAGGTACATGCTTGACACCAAGGTGGCTATGCCAGTTGACGAGTTCTTGCAGACTCAGGTGCTCAAGCCCTAAACAAGCAAAGACACTAGATCCAACACTAGGCCACAGCTTCAGTTGCACCAGCCAACCCACACCACATCATAGCTCTGAAAGACAATATCCACACACAGACCACTGGCCCAATGCAGTTCCTAATGCAACAGGGTAGGATACTGTGTCGTGTAGAAAGACTTTCTACAAGTGCTGTTGCTAGTCTGCCAAAACATTTAGAAACAAAGTCAGAGGCCACTTCACTTGTACAGTTTAACAGTGGCCCCCAGCAGGGGAGGTGCTGATAATCTGGGCAAGCTTCTTTTCAGTCCCACTGAAAGGCCTTCACTGCAGCATGCTCACATACCAGCAAAAACCACCCTCTACCAGGACCAGAACAGCTCTCCCACAGGTTGCTGCAAACTACCTCCCACTCAGAGCCCAGCTTCCACAAAGCACTCCAGAGGCAGAGAGGGGTAGCAGAGCCGGCCTCATCCAGCCCAACAACCATTAACAAACCAAGTGCCACTAAGTGGAGAACCTTCTTCTCCAAGGTGCTACCACTTAAGAGAGCCTGAAGTACATCTCAGAATTAAAATGCTCCCACAGTTCTGAAGTACCGCAAGCCTGATGGAGACAATGAAGAGAAGCAATGATGGGCTGGGAGTGGTAGACTGCTGTCTGTTATGTTAAAGACTGGGACTCGGGCAAGAAGTAACAGTACGTCCTTTTATCTTCTGTATTCTAAAACTAAATTATATTGTAATGACATTTTAAAACAAACCTCCTCCACTATATTCTAACACTTCTAATTCCAAGACAAAACTGAGTTGTCCTTGATTTTGACAATACCTGTAATTAAAACATGCTTGAGAACAGTGTACATTCAATTCATATGCACATGCACACATGCATATATATACACACACGCATATGCGCAGAGACACATGCATATGCCTATGAGCAGAGACATGTGTATACACATGCATATATGACATATACCTGAGCACATGCATATACATCCATATGTGCACACACAAACACATTCATACATGCACACAAATGTGTCTATGTGTATATATACATGTGGCCCCATCCGTGTATACACATACAGATTAAATTTTGACAAGTTTCAGAACCCAACAAGTAATATTCAAGAAAAATACTTACGTTCTTTCTTGATTTTTTCAGCTACTAGAAATTCATCTCTTTCAACAGTTGGGGCAAAGTTGCTGCCGATGACTCGCACAGCGAACTGGAACTGCTGGGCAACATCAGCTGAAAGGTGACCCAAAAGGTGCATGTTATTACCAGGCAGGCTCAGTTTTCATCAAAGAATGTATGCAGTTAGAGAGCAAAGGAGGTACATAAATGTACCTTCCACCTTCCCTAGTCTTAACGGAGAGAACATAAAAGCCTTAAAGAAGTCAGAATGACCTACTACTATTATTGTGCTAAATGGGCATGGTATTAAACTCCTAATGACTTATCATTATACCCACAGACTAGTACATCTCAGCCCTTATCAGAAAAGCTTCTTTTTGCAATAGATGGCAGATAACAGAGAACCACAACTTGTCAACAAGCAGAAAATAAGAGACTGAAGAGTGCTCAGGTCTAAATAGGGTATCAGTGTCACACTTCTCCCGCCAAGGCTCAGGGATCATTGAGGAAGAAGGACTACAAAGACTGCAAGAGCCAGATGGCTAAACCAAAGTTTTCTGGACAGAACAGGTAGATGCAAATACGAACTCACAATGGTTGTGACAGTATGCACCAGACATGTGCAAGCTCAAGCCAGATAAAACCCCAGCATGGAGAGAGGAGGTGAGCATTAAGTTCCACCTCTAGCTGAGGAGCTACTGGCAACTGACAGCTGCTGGGAGAAGAGTCAGTGTTCTTTAAAGGTATGACCCCTGGTAGGATGGACCCACACCCAAGGGTATTTGGGTAACATAAATTGGATTCAATGAGCTAAAAAAAAAAAAAAAAAAAGAAAAGACAGAAATTGGAGGGGTAGGAAGATATGGGTAGATCTGAAAGGGGATAGGGAAGGGGCAAAACCAACAAAAATATATGGCATTAAATTTTCAGGGAAAAAAATTTTTTTTTTTTTTTCTTTTTAAATAATTTTTTTTTTCCCAAAACACCCGGGGGGGGGGGCCCCCCCCCCGGGGGGCCCTGCCGTGATGGGGGTCAAAACAAACCTTGTACTTGAAAAAAAAAAAAAAAGAAAAGACAGAAATTGGAGGGGTAGGAAGATATGGGTAGATCTGAAAGGGGATAGGGAAGGGGCAAAACCAACAAAAATATATGGCATTAAATTTTCAGGGAAAAAAATTTTTTTTTTTTTTTCTTTTTAAATAATTTTTTTTTTCCCAAAACACCCGGGGGGGGGGGCCCCCCCCCCGGGGGGCCCTGCCGTGATGGGGGTCAAAACAAACCTTGTACTTGAAAAAAAAAAAAAAAGAAAAGACAGAAATTGGAGGGGTAGGAAGATATGGGTAGATCTGAAAGGGGATAGGGAAGGGGCAAAACCAACAAAAATATATGGCATTAAATTTTCAGGGAAAAAAATTTTTTTTTTTTTTTCTTTTTAAATAATTTTTTTTTTCCCAAAACACCCGGGGGGGGGGGCCCCCCCCCCGGGGGGCCCTGCCGTGATGGGGGTCAAAACAAACCTTGTACTTGAAAAAAAAAAAAAAAGAAAAGACAGAAATTGGAGGGGTAGGAAGATATGGGTAGATCTGAAAGGGGATAGGGAAGGGGCAAAACCAACAAAAATATATGGCATTAAATTTTCAGGGAAAAAAATTTTTTTTTTTTTTTCTTTTTAAATAATTTTTTTTTTCCCAAAACACCCGGGGGGGGGGGCCCCCCCCCCCGGGTGTTTTGGGAAAAAAAAAATTATTTAAAAAGAAAAAAAAAAAAAAAAAAAAAAAAAAAAGAAAAGACAGAAATTGGAGAGGTAGGAAGATATGGGTAGATCTGACAGGAGATAGGGAAGGGGCAAATACAATCAAAATATATGGCATGAAATTCTCAGGGAATAAGATTTTTTTTTTTTTTTTGTCTTTTTGAAGCAGGGTCTGCCTGTAGCCCCAGCTGTCCTGGAACTTACTATGTAGACCAGGCTGGCCTTGAACTCAAGAACAGAAATGATGAAATCAGTAAGTAAAACCAATTCTATAAAATATGGGAAAAAGAAAGAGTTGGAAAAAAATCCTAAAATACAGAAAACTGGACTGTTAATCATTTTTAAAGAAGCAAAGAAGTCACAGTCCAGAGAAGAAACATGGGAAGCAGGCCTGGTCAAGACAATCTCTGAGCACCTCCCATCCTAGGCCAAAATACCAAATGCGTTTTCACCAGGAAGATCAGGAGGCAGACAGTTTGTGCTGATAAGTTATAATAGGTTTGTCTACTTCCTTTCAAAGTACCAGTAAACTGAAAATAAAGCAGTTTTAATAAATAAGACATAAATCTACAAAGGAAGAAGTGAAGACAGAGAAAAGTCCAGGATGAGAGGCTGGAAAGCAAATGCATATGTGACACTTGACTCAGGGGGCCAATGTGGAAAGCCCAAGGTCTGCAAGGACAGGAAAGAAATGGAGCGTTGGGAACTGGCTTAGTTTCTTTTTTTTTTTTTTTTTTTTCTCAAGTACAAGGTTTGTTTTTTTTTTCCAAAAACCTCTTATGCACATTCAAAATTTTTACAAAACCTGAGAAAGTTCTTCAGGCTTAGTTTTTTTTTCTGTTACTGTTATGAAATACAATAACAAAAGCAACTTAAGGGAGAAAAGACTTATCTGCTCCCAATTCTAGGTTACAACCCATCACAGAAATCTGGACTGTTAATCATTTTTAAAGAAGCAAAGAAGTCACAGTCCAGAGAAGAAACATGGGAAGCAGGCCTGTGAAGATGACAGGCATGTGAAGTAATTGATCATATCACATCTATAACCAAGAGTGTAGCAAATTAACACATGCATGCTAGTACTCACCTCTTTCTCCATTCTCCTACAATCTAGGATCCTAGGCCCAGGGAATGGTGCCACCCACAGTAAGCAAGACTTCCAAGTCAACAAAACAATCCCCTACAGACATGCCCACAGGTCAACCTAATCTAGACAATCCTTCATTGAGAAAGATTGTGTCAAATTGATAAAACTAATCAGTACCAGCAAGTTAAAACTAATCAGTACCATGCCACTGTTTGTCAACTTGATACACAAATATATCACTTTAAGCTATAACCTTCAACCCTTTGTCCCTAAAGTCTCATGTTAATCTCATAATGTAAAACACAGTTCAACTTTAAAGGTTCCTATAGTCTCTAAAAATTCCAAAACTTACAAAGTCCCAAGTCTCTGAACTGTGAACACCTATAAAACAAAGTTACACACTTCCAACATATAATGGCACAAAATAAACATTTCTACTTCAAATTGAAAGAACCAGGAGCATACCAAGAAATTATCAAACCAAACCCCCAAATCCAGCAGGGCAAATAACAAATTCTGCAGCTCTTTGTCCATCATCTGAGGCTCATGATGAGACTGGCTGGGCTCCAGAGGGTTCGGTCGGCTCCACTCCTTCAGCTCTGCTCTTGTGGCAACAGCTTCTCTCTTTGGCTTAGGCCAGCTCCACTCCTTCCCATAACCTTCCTTAGCTTATGTCCCCATCTGGGTCCCCAACATTCTGAAGTCTCCATGGCAGCTTAGGCTTCATCTTTACAGCTTTGCTTAATGGCCTCTGAGGGCATCTCTGCAGGGATTCAACCCTGCCACACAGTGCCTGGCCTCAGCTGCTCTCCGTGACCCCTTCATTCTTTCATCTTTCATGCCTTCAAAACCAGCAGCACATAGACACTATCACCAGCTGGAGATGTAGCCTGCACCCGACCCCCAAACTCCCCAAACCTCAGCTGTATCTGTGGACTGACCCTGAGGAAACACTTTGCTGTTGTCCCAGTCAGTTCAGGTGCCAGGTTTCTCTTTAGTGGTGCTGGTCTCTGTAGCAGTTACAGCTGCTTTCCTGTCTGCATTCTCCTCGTTCAGAAACTTCTAGCTTGCCCACACACCTTTCTTTCAAATTAATCTATTATCTTTAAATTCAACTTCACTCAAGTTCTCAGGACACAGACAGAATGAAGCCAGACTCTTGGCCAAAATATCACATGAATAGCCCAAGACCAATTCCCAATACAGCCCTTGTTCTCCTCTGAAACCTCATGAGCCAGGCATCCACTTTTTCTTAGCTTTACACTCTTCCAAGCTCCCACTACAATAGCCCATGAAGCTTTGCTCCCAGCATTCACTGGCTTTTCTAGCCTAAAGTTCCAAACTTCTACATCCTAAAGTTCTACATCCCTCGTACAAAGCAGATCCAAAGGCCCAGAAGCCACACAAGCAGGTTTTTTCATAGCAATGACCCCACTCTTGGTACCAGCTCCTGTCAGTTTCCTTTTCTGTTGCTGTGATAAAACACTCTGGAAAAAGCAACTTAAAGGTGAACCAGGCTTATTTTAGCTCACAATTCAAGGAACAGTCCATTATAGAGGGGAAGTCAAGGCAGCAGGAACTTAACAAAGCTGGTCACATTACATTCAGTCAGAAGAGAGTAATGAATGCATATGCTAGTGCTCAACTGATTGTCTCCACTCATAACACTCCACGATTCCATGCCTCAGGGAATGATGCCACCCAGAGTGAGCAGTTCTTCACATCTCAAAGCAACCAGGATTACCACCCCCCAGGCATGTCCACAGGGCAACTTAATCTAGAAAATTCCTCATTCAGACTCCCTTCTCAAGAAATTCCAGATTGTATCAAGTTGGCAAAACTAACCACCACAGGGAAAAAAAGTCAAGAAGAAACAACATGTACTCTGCAAAAGGCCAGGGGAAGCTCAGCAAGATAAGGAGTGCATCCTCTCAGGAGCTGGGTACCAAGGGAAGGAATAGACTGATTCACACACGGAGGGAAAACCAGTCCCTGTCCTCTGCCCAAGCCCCACTCTCTTGTCAATCACAGTCCCCCAGGCAGGCAAACCTCAAATGGAGCAACACAAGAGGGAAGCAAATAGTGATCAAAGTCAACTAAGGGACTAACTAGGCAAAGAGAAAACTCAATGGCAAGTGAGGTTCTCAGCAAGCAGCCGGATCCCTAAGAATTCTTCCACAAAAGCAGAATGCCTGGCAAATGTTGCCCTGGCAGAGACCTCCTAAACCATTCTCATTTCAGGCTTTTCACACAGATTCTGGGGAATGAACAAGTTGTCAGGTTTGTACAGAGAGCACTTTTACCTGCTGAGCCATTTCCCTGACTCCCCTCATTTTAAAAAATACAGATAAATTGGATTCAGCACATTAAAATGTTTTGCTCTGCAAAGAATACAATTGTTAAGAGAATTAAAATACTGAAAAAAATTTCAAAATACAAATCCAACAAAGGACTTGTATCTAGATACAAAACAAACACTCAAAACGTTAAGGGTGAAAGAAGCAATCCAGCAAAAATGCAAGCAATAAGGGCAAAATAAAATAAAAAGACAGCATTAGGAAGGGATTGAAATGGCCAAACAAGATACTCAACTACATCAGGGGAAGAAAAGAAAAACACAGTGAACTCTTGCTACACATGGCAGACTAAAACAAACACCAACACAGTGGGGTACAGAGAACCCAAACGGTTCAGCAACCCTCAGCACCACATACAGATCAAGTGGCCAGCATATAAGCTCAGTGTTTCAGATGCCAAGCTCTAACAGAAGCCTAAGAGACCACAACCCCTAAAGACAGGGTTCATACACTGACTCTGAAAATTAGAAAGTGTACCATTTGATTCAGTTGCTCATCTTCTGCCTTCAGTACTGCCTGGTTGCCAGTTCCCCTTCCCACCATGCCATCAACCAGTGCTTCCAACTCCTGTGGAACCAAAGGTTCTTCTAAAGTGCCAAGCTAGTCAGAACACCATGCTCTTAAGCAAAATGCCAAATGAAACACACCGCCCTAGACCTGCAGTTTACAACCTTTTTGATTCGAGGCCCCTTAAGTCCCAAGACCAAGGGCTCCAAAGAGTTTATGTGCATTGCACATACCCAAAGTTATCATATTAGAAATTTAAGTCATGATCATTTAAAATTATCTAATTACTTTATAATGTAATAGTTAACTAATTTAATCTACTTAAGATACTTTAGATCATTTCTGGAATACATATAATGCCTAATAAAATGCAGATGCTCTCTGAAGACTGTAGGTTTAAGGAAAAATGGCAGGGCAAATATAAAGTAATGAAATTTACATTAAAAGTATATATACATAAAGGTAAAACACTGATACACATAAAATGCATCTTTTTATGCCTTGATTTTGCAGTATTACAAAGCAATGCACTATAAAAGCATAAAGCCAATTCAAACACATAACTATAAACTGAACTATTTAATCAATTATCTGGAGTTACCAGATAAAATGCCAATTAATGAACAGAAAATTTTAAATGCCAAATATTTGACAGCATTTACCAACACTGCTCCTTTGCCACTAACAGCAAATCAAAAACATAATAAGCTACTAAATACAAAGTCTCCAATAAGTGACATAATTTGAAGATTATGTACACCATATAGTTGGCAATCCTAACACCCAGAACACTGAGAAGAGACCATCATCTTTAATGGGTTAATGAAATATTTTACTCTGTAAAATCTCGCTGAGAGCCTACTGGCTCCCAACTCAGACATGATTCTAGAGAGGTGGGAGGATATGAAATTTTGCTAAAAAGAAACACTTCAATCACATGAAACGTCTGTCACTCAAAAGGGGCCTTAATACCATTTTTTTTCCAATTTTGAAATTCATGATAAATGACCTCAAAAATCTAGTTATGATTGAGGGGTTCTTCCTGGGAAGTAACATTTTTTAACCCAATGCAATAAAGGAAAAAGTGATGTGTAGGTGGGTTAAGTCATAACTAACAATCTTAGTTACCTGAGCTCTCCAAGACCTCCGCGGGGAACACTAAATCAGCAGAGTACACTGGCCCTTCACCAGATGCAAGAAATGACCCTCCCTCACTCTTATCAGGTCACCACTTCAACTTCTGAAGACTTACTTTCCTCCCTAAGCTCCCTCCATCCCTTAACCCTACTTTTTCGCCACAGGCTTACGAGTTATAAACACTGAACACTGTATGTTCACCAATACGCTAGTCACAGTCCCTCTATTAGACTGTAAGAGCACCGCCGGTATCTGGCATAACCGGTACTTAAAGGAAGGGGGGCTTAAAGAGCTGTTAATGAATAAACTACAGCGAAACACTGCAAGGGGTAGCAAGAACGATAGAAACACAAAATACTTCATCCAAAGTCGTCATGGACAAGTTACACAGATTGTTACAGATCATGAAAAAGGCCAAAACGGTCTCTCGGTACTTTAAATACAACTTTGTTTAGTCTTCCTTGAAAAAATGCACGATTCGTTCGTTTCCTAAGCTTTGGAGTGTAAGCAGCAGATAAGCTAGTCATTTCAATTACAAGAACATTCCTTAACACGTCCCTGCTACCTCCCAAAAAAAGCAACATTAAGACATTCTGAACCGCTTTTTTTTTTTTTTTCCAACTGACACGGCTATAGAAAAGGTGTAGTGCGCAGAACTGTCTTTATGTTTGGCCTCTTAGTACCAACATTCACTACGTGAACTTTCCCGGAACAACCCTCCAACCTACAGGAGCAGCAAAGCCGGCAAGAAGGTCAGAGTGCCAAGCAGGACCCGCCCACGCCGCTGCTCAGGCCCGGGCCCTCTAGGCAGGGGCTCCGCGGGAGCCGGGAACCTCGGGTCTTGCCTGGGCCAGGCTGCGCGCCCGGATAGCGGCCACTCTGCCAGCGAGGTCCCGGCTTTCGTGCCCCGCCGCCCTCGGGCCGCACGACGCGTTACCTTCGCTCCGGCCCAGGATCCGACAGCACAGATTCTGCAGCAGAACGTTAGGTGACTTCTGATCTGGGGTCGCCATCGCCGAGCCTGATCTGAGTTCGGCGGCCTCCCCGCGCCCCAGATTCCTGTGTCCTGACTACCGCGCCGCCATGTTCGCGGAAGCGCCAAAAGCGCGCGCCTCCCATAATGCACCGCTACCCCTCGAGGGCGCGCATGCGCCTACTCAGCAACGATTCCCGCGCGCCGGAAGAGTTCCGGGCGATGCTAGTAGGGTTTTTCTGGCGGCGCGCAGGGCTCTGAGCCTAAGCCTGCGATCTAGGACCTGCTGATGAACTGCAAGGGTTTGATCCACATCTGGAGTCCGAGCACGCACGTCACTCACACTGTGACCCAGGCAGACTGCGGTGCCCGCTGTTACGCAGAAAGTGGGGCTCGTGGAAGAGTCCTCACCGGCTTGAACTTTCAGCACCAGGTAGCCATGACGTCGCGGGGGAATATCCCGCGCGTGAACAGAGAGCAGGAAACTGGGACAGACGCACTCAGTGGCAGGTGTAGCGAAGAGGCTTGAGTTTAAGTCGCCTTATTTCAGGACAAGAAAAACCTCCCGAGTGTCTCGAACTCAAAAGCCGTATCGCCCAGGAGCCCAGCCCCGCAGTTCCTACAGGGATACGCATTGGTCAGCCGATGAAAGCAACCTTCCCCGCCATTGAGTCAGGGCTGGGATGGTAGTGGGCAGAAGTGACTTAATGGAGGATGTACCCTCTTTTGCCTTTTGCTCTCAGACTTCTTAGCCACCTCCCTTGCTTGCTCTGTGGGATACGGGATGCTGATAAACTGCCTGGACAAATGGTATCTGGTGGGCTCAGTCAGGGAGAACCAATGGTGAAAGACTGCAGGGAAAAGAAGATACCCGGGCTCTGCACATTAGCACCTCTAACTGTGACTGCTATGATAAATAACATCTCTAGCCTCACTTCATCTGCCACCCTCAGGAATGCTGCTCAGGCAAAAGAATATGGCCACATGACTACAGCAATTCCTCCTGTTCCCTTCACCCCGGGTGCTGTAGTTAATTTACTGCTTCACTCCCTTGCTTCCAATCACCCAAGAAGTTAGTTCTCTGTGTTCAATCCCTTTGGTTTCTGCTTTGTTGCCGGGACCCTACCACCATCCTTAGTAGTGGCAGGGATCCCAGAAAGAAGCCTTAAGATAGCTGAATGAATGGTTCACATATCTAACGGCAGATAGCCTGACAACCTTTTGAGGGTGACAAATAAAGCCAGGAGAGCACCAGAGTGATTTACTTGGAGCAGAATGGCAACTGAGAGCAACACTGAAAGTTAAGTAGCTGCTCCAGGCAGGTGTTTGGATAGTAACATGGCTCTGAAGACTGTTAGTTGTTGACCATACTGGGGTACATTCATTCTGGTGGCTTGTGTCTTTATACTTCTGACTTCAGGTACAGTCATCCAAATGGGCGAGCTCCCAGAGCAGTCCTAGGACAGAAGTTAGGACCAAACCCCGTCCTCTCTGTCATCAGGTGTGAAGCAGGCTGAGTAATTGAGTCCATCACATTCTTATATTAAGGTAGGTCATTAACTGAGAAGTGAGACCCTAAGGCTTGATGGAGGCTGGGTAAAAAGTGAGGGCTAAGTCACCTGAACCACTTTTAGTGCCCAACTGCCTCTGTCCACAGGCAGGCCTATCTCTGATTTTCAGACCAACCCTGGAGACTGTCATCAAAAATCAAATAGACTTCTGAAGAATTCAGATAATGAGAGAGAGAGAAGGCAACCCAAAGCAGAAAACTAGTTTTCAAAATGGTACACTTAACCCCAACTATAGTCAAGGCTACTGGTGTCAGTGGATGCAACATTCCAAGTAAAGATTTTCCAAGTACGACATATTCTAATATAGAGCCACAAGTAGAATGAAAAATGGGTAAGACATACCACAGAAACAATTAAGTGTTCTGAGGCACATTAATACAAGAGCACATAGACTTACTTCAAGATGAGTCTTCTTGAAGATAAACATATCAGAACCATTGAGATGACTCAGTGGGTAAAGACACTTGCTTCCAAGCCTGACAACCTGAGTGTAATCCCTGGACCCACATGGTAGAAGGAAAGGACCAAGTTGTCATCTGACCATACATCTGCTATGCACACAAAATAATTTTTTTTAGTAAGAAACGCATCATAATGACAATCAGGAAAAAATATAAGTGCATGTGCCTATTAACAAAGCTTCAAAGTGTATGAAGCAAGAGGGACTTGCAGACATGGCAGATGAAGACATCATCAAATTCCACATACTAGAAGTGCAAAACTATCCAAGCCAGTCAACTTGACACTGTAAACCAGGCAGGTGACAAATTAAAAAAAAAAAACAAAAAACCCACTTAGTCATTAGTGCCCACAGTGAACACTGGCAGCCCTCTTGGCTTACCTCTTCAGCCCACCCAAGACCAGTAAGCAAGAACCATAGTTCCCAAGCTGTCAGACTTGCCCCACTATAAGCAGGCTGCATAAAGGATGCATGGTTCAAAGCTGTGCCAGAGAAGAAAGGCTTGTTGGGAAAGAGCAGATGCTCCAGCCTGTGGTTGGAACTGCTTGGTGCCAGTGGTAGCCCAGGGAAACACTAATACTGTGAGGGTTCATACTGCCTGTCAGCATGGCTGGGTTCAGCATCATTATAGGTGTGTTTTTGAATGATGTTAACATTTGAATCCATTGGTAGGTTATCTTTTCATCACTCTGATGAAATACCTGAGAGAAAACATTTAAAAGGAGAAAAGATTTATTTCAGCTTGTGGTCCCAGAAGTTTTGCTCCATGATTGCTTAGCTTAGTTGCTTTTAGGCCTGGTGGAGCAGTACAGTGGGGCATGGGGGTGGGGAGGTGGTGGTGACAGAAGAAGACTGCTCACTTCATGCTGTCCAGGAAACAAAGCAGGAGAGAGGAAGGGTTGTGGGGGGGGGGGGGGTGACTGCAGTGACTCACTTCCTCCAATAGGCTCCACCTTCTAGTAGCCTATTAAGCTATAACTCCATTGACAGATTGTCTTCATTATTTTGTTGCTATGACAAAATGCCCTGACAAAAGCAACTTAAGGGAGAAAGGTTTTATTTTATATTATTTTATTTATTTATTTTTAATTTTAGCACACAGTTCAAGGGTACAATCCATCATGGTGAGGAAGTCCTCTTGGCAGGAGCTTGAGGCAGCTGGTTGCATTGTATCCAGAGTCAGGAAGTAGAGAGCTCAGCTCACATTTTCCTTTTGTTGCCGTCTAGGACCCAAGCCCAGGGAATAGTGCCTCCTACTTTTAGGGTGAATCTTCTCACTTCAATTAACCTAAGTAAATAAACCCTCAGGCATGCCCAGAGGCTTGTCTCCTAGGTAATTCTAGGAGACAGGTAATTCTAATTGCCAGGTTTACTGTTGATGATCAGTAAACCACAGAAATGATTACTCCATTGATTAAGATAAGACCCTTATGATCCAGTCTCTTCTGAACACTGCTGCAGCAAACACCTGCCCTTCAGACCTATGGGGGAACATTTCATACCCAAACCATGACAGTGGTTTTTGAGCAACACAGATTATACATCCCAGTGGGGTCAGGCCTCACACAACACACTAAAGGCCTGAATAGAACAAAAATACTACCCTTTAAGCAATAGAGATCTTACAGAGACAGCCCACCCTGCAGATTTCAGCCCTGTTGGCCCTACAACCATGGAGATGGTCCCTTAAAATAATCTCATGTGCATACACACATAAGTATCTAAGATAAGTGTCCCATAAACAGCTGTCCAACAAGGAAACCATTTGAGAACCCAGCAAGACACCAGACTCGAGGGAAGCATGAGACTAATATGAACATATTTCTAACCCACACACAGGTCCATCAATGCAGGATGAAATCCTTACAGGCTCTGCCTGAGTCAGAACTTGCACATAAGCTAATAAGCTATGCAGACACGGGCAAGCCCTGAGAAACCAGCTACAGAAATCAAATGAAAATTTAAAGCCAGTAGAAAAAAGCAGCAGTTACCTGATATGAGTCCAGAAAAATGTACAAATTTGTATCCACATGGAGTAAGAGCAGTTGTGTCAGTGCAGGACCTCAGGCCAAAAGCATGGAAATGAACATCGTGGACAAAACTGTGGAAATAAACTACAACTTGGAGTAAATATATCAACTTCTTCAAATACACAAACTACCAAAGCACCACAAATAGATAACTTGATAAACTGTATCTGTTGAGAAAATGAGGTGTTTAAGTCTTCCAACACAAAACTGCAGGCCTGTGTGAACCTTCACTGGTAAATATTTTCTAATATTAAAGAGGAAATAATATCAATTCTACATAAAGTCTTCCAGAAATTCAAATGAGGGAACAATAAGATGGCTCAGTAGGAAAAGGGACTTGCTTCATAGGCCTGGCAAGCTGGTGCAATCCCCAGAACCCATGTAAATGTGGAAGAAAAGAACTGACTCCATAAAACTGTCCTCTGACCTCCACATACACACTGGAAGCATATCATACATGCACACAATAAGTTAAAAAAAAAGTATAAAACCAGGTGTGGTGGTGCACGCTTTTAGTCCCAGCACTTGGGAGGCAGAGGCAGGGGGATCTCTGGGAGATCAAGGCAAACCTGGTCCATAGTGAGTTCCAGGAAAACTGGGGCTACAGGGAGACCCTGTCTCAAAAAGACTAAATAAAAAAATAAATAAATAAAGTAAATAGTATAAAAAGAAAATTAAGGTGAGGGGTGTTTCTGTTATGATTTGGATGTTTGCCCCCAAGTCTGTTGTGTGGAAAGGCTCAGTGACCAGCCTGTGGTGAAGCCTATAGGAGGTGAGGCAACTGTATAAGGAAATTGTCCGGGGTGGGGGGGGGGCGTGTCAGTGCCCTCAAGGACATATTGGGACTTGGCCCCTTCCTGTCTCTCTGCTCCCAGCTGCCATTAGGTGAGCGGTTTTTTCCACCACACATCTCCACCATGTTTTACCTTGCCAAGCACCTCATAGTTACACCTGGACTGTTTACGACAGCTACCATGTCACCAAGCCTATCAAGTACTTCACACTTAGAATCTTCAAAACAGCTGCTACTTGTCACTGTCGGTGTTGTACCTGTAATCTTCACAACTACCACATGTACCTGTCTCTGTCAAGCACATAACAGTTACTAACAGATTATTCACAACCCCCACCACATGTCATTGTATCAGGTGACTCATGACACGTGGAATCTTCACAATAGCCACCATTGTCACTTTCTCTCAAGCACCTCACATTTACACCCAGAGCCCTTTCAACAGCTGCCTTGAATATCTGTCAGTGTCAAGCTCCTGACAGTCACCCAGATGCTTCACACCACCTGTCATATGTCTTTGTGTCAAATGTCTCACTGTTACATCCAGACTTCACAACAGCCTCCACATTGTCAGGTGCTCACAGTGACACTCGTGCTGTGTCACTGTCTGTGTCAAGTGCCTCATATTTATACCTGGACACTTCACAACAACCACCCCATGTCACTGTCTCTATTGGGCACCTAACAATGACACCCACTGTTGCCACAGAAGCCACTGAGTGTCACTGTCTCTGTGAAGTGCTTCGCAGTGGCACCCATGATCACACCAGCCACCATGTGTCACTGTGTCAAATACCTCACAGTTATAATTGGACTCTTCACAACTACTACTACATGTCACTATCTGTGTCAAACACCTCACAGTTAAACGTGAAATCTTCACTATATCTGAAATATTTCATTGTCTGTCATCTTACAGTGACACTGAGTCATAACAACAGCCACCTTTCATTGCTGTCTGTGTCAAGACAACTCTCAGTTATACAGACACTTCACAACAGCTGTCATGTTGCCATCTCTGTCAAGCACTTAGAATCTTCTCAGCAACCACCACGTTACTGTTTCTGTCAAGTGCCTCATAGTTACACCCAGAGTCAGCAACAGCAGCTGCCTTGAATACCTGTCTGTGTTGAGCCCCTCAGAGTTACACCTGGAATCTTCACATCTGCCACTTATTGCTATTTCCCTCAAGTGCCTCAGTGACATCCAAAATATTCACAACAGCTGCCTCAAATCACTATCTCAAGCTCCTCACAGTTAACTGGATTCTTAACAATATCTGCCACATGCCACTGTCTCTATAAAGTGCCTCACAATTACACCCAGAGTCATAACAACAGCTGTCTTGAATTACTGTCTATGTCAAGTTCCTCACTGTTACACCCAGATTCTTCACAACATCTGACACATTCACTCTTTAGGTCATGTGTTTCACAGTTACACTCAGACTCTTCATAACAGTGACCACATGTCACTATCTCTGTCAGTGGCTCACAGTTACACCTAGAATCTTTACAATAACCTGCACTGTCTGTGTGAAGCACCTCACAGTTACACCTGAACTCTACAACAGCCCCTACATGTCACTGTGTCGAGTGCCTCATAGTTATACCTGAGCTCTTCACAACAGCCACCTCATGTCACTGTGCCAAGTGTCTCACAGTTACATCTAGAATCTTCCTAACAGTCACCAC